CTCCGAGACCTGTGTTTTATGGAAGTCTTTGGGTTATTTAAAAATCAGGGTATGACTTATGTTTGAACTTGGTAAGAGCTCTGCACAGTTGCCAGCTGCTGCCTGGCTCTCGCCGAGCCGTGGTAGTTCCAAGCTATCCTCACAACACGAGCAGAGAAAGGAAAAACAGGTCTCCTGACCTTGTCAGCTGGTGCTTGGTTGGTTCTTGCTAATTGAAACAAAATCATTTTGATATAGAAGGAAGGTGGATATCTACTCATTTTATTCTCATTCTGCAAATATTTCCAGGGTTACCTACTGTGTGCCCGGCCCCACGGACCCCACAGAGGGGCATCTCTGCTGCCTGGGGTCTCCCTGTCTCTGTCTGATCTGGAATTTCTCAGCCTATACTGAGAAATTTGGTGTCTGCTTTCTTTTCACACAGCGTCATGTCTTCAAGGCTCCCTGTGGTGTTGCATGCTTAGCATCTGGTTCCCTCTCTGGCTGCGTGGTGCGCCATGCGTGACCGTGTCATGTCCTTTGTGTGTCCATGAGCTTGCTGTTGGTTGGTTCCAGTGTGAGCTTTCATGCGTCAGGCCCCTGTGCCCGCACACGTTCCCTCCTTGGAGATTTGAACCTGGAGATATCGGGGTAGGCGTGCTGGCGTTGTTAAAGACTTGTAGCCAGTTCTCAGCGTGGCTGTGCTGCTTGACTCTCCCACCGGCAGTGTCTGAGGTCCCCAAGTCCCTGCTCTTCTGTTTTGCAGGGGCTGTCCTCGCAGGGTCCCTTGGCTTTTGCTCAGTGGACCCTGGCATTCACATTTCCCTTCTTTGTCTCTCCAGGTGCTCAGGACAGGCCAAAAGGAAATACACACTTGGTGAGTTCTTGGGTGACAGTAGGTGTGGCCTGTTCCTCTGTTGTCCCCAGGCCTTTCCCTGCAGCTGTGCCCAGAACCAGGGGTCCCTGGCCTGGCTGGAGAGTGAGGTTCTGATTCTCGCCCTCCACAGCCCCCCGACCCCAGCACAGTGCTTGATGAAACAGATTGTCCCAGCCTGCACTTCTGTCAAGCTGAGGGGATGCTGCCCACATGGGGTGGGAATCAGCACCAAGGCCCTGCTCCTGTCCTTATGGGGATGCGATCGCATAGTCCTGTGGAGCCATGTGGCAAGGGACAGAGAAGTTAGGCAAAGGAATATGCAAACAGAGTGACAAGAACAGGCTGCTGCTGTGGGTGGGAATTATAGGGGCCTGAGCCTCACACACTCCCACAGTGGCCTTGGCTGGGCTGCTGACAGGCTCCCAGGCAATAGCCCCTGTGTATGATGTCCTCTGGGGTGGGTGTTGGTGGGTTGGCACCCATCCCTGAGCCCTGGGGTGGGAGCAGCTTCTCTGCCCCGGAATGCTGGTAGGAACCCTGCTGCTCCTGCAGTGGGAGCGCAGACCCTCGTCCAGCACCACCCTCCAGGCTGTGGGGCCCGTGTATGAGATGCAGGGGTCACCCCGGGTTTACGCCACAGGCCTGTGTCCTGGGCAGGCCTACGTCTTGAAGGCAGACCCTTGCGGCCACTGCCTCATCATCAACAATGTGAGCTTCTGCCAGACATCGGGGCTCAGCAAGCGTACGGGCTCCAACGTCGACTGTGAGAAGATGCGGCGCCGCTTCTGCCGGCTGCATTTCCTGGTGGAGGTCAGGTGCAACCTGACCGCCAAGGTACAGTGACTGTCGGAGGACAGAGATGGGGTGGGGGTGAGTGTGGCAGTGTCCTGTGAGGGGCCGCAGAAGCCAACTCCCCAGGTGAGCCCCTATACCTCTAGGATAGCTTAAGCATCAGATTTGGGGAAGGTGGCTCCGAAGACTGGCTCTCTTGGAGGCCTGCTAGTGACCTCCTGTGCCTCAGTTTTCCTGTCTAGAAAGCATGAATAATGCCCCTCGTCGGGTTGTTATGGGGATTAAAAGAACAACCCTTTCCCCTGAGAATGGTGAAGGTGGCTCCATATGGGTCCCTCGATGCAGAGTCAGTGCTCTGCCTGGGCCCTCAGCAGGGAACAGGAGTTGCGTGTGGGGGTGGCTGACCTGGCCTCTCGCTCAACCACAGCCTTCCCTTCCTGTAGGAAATGGTCCAGGCGTTGGCAGAGCTGGCGCAGCGGGATCACCATGCACTCGACTGCTGCGCGGTGATCGTCCTCTCTCATGGCTGTCAGGTAGGCGCCTCCCCCTCCCAGCCTTGCTGCTCTGATGGGTGCAGGCCAGAGGCTGTCCCCAGGGGAGCCCATCCCTTCCTGTATCCTAACTGCCTGTGGCTTCCTGGGGAAGAGCTACGGGCTCTGCCCACCCCCTGCTGATTACCAGGGCCGCCAGGTTCCCTGAGGAGTCAGCCCCGAGGAGAGGAGCGGGAGGCACCTTCCTGTGTTCGGCAGAGTCCTGAGAGGAGCCATCGGGACTGGGAGGGACGGAGGGACAAATTCTGTTCCTGAAGCTGTGCCTCTGGGTTTTGTTCACAGCCCTGCAGGCCCTTGGCAGCTGGGTGGCACTCGGTGCAGGAATCCACTTGTATGCCAGCCAGCTCATGGGCAATCATTCACTTTTTCCTGCCTGGACCTTGATTTCCTCAGGGGTGATCAGACCAACAGTCACAACTGGTGGCCTTGAGGTCCTCTGTGGGTATGACAGTACGTTTATGTTTTTCAGCACTAGGAATCGGAACCAAGATTTTCACGCTGAGCTACCTGCTTAGCTCTTTTTTCTTTTTTCTTTTTTGAGACCCGCTCTCTTTAAGTCATTAAGTTGCCCAGGCTGGGCTCGAACTCTTGATCCTCCTGCCCCAGCCTCCCAGACAGCTGGGATTATAGGTGTGTGCCTCTAGGCCTGGCCTCAGTGTTTTAAAAACTGACAAATGTCTTTCAGTTTCTTGTGAATCACCCCAGGTTCTGGCCTGACCAGCCCAGCATCCCCACAGTGCAGCTCTGGTCTGCCCCTCCGAGCCTCCTCCTCCTCCTGGCATGGCACAGGGCATCTCCTGAGAGCCTGTGAGAAATGCAGCCCTCAGGCCCCTGCTGTGGGGCTCTGCATTCACTCTGCACTGTGAGCAGGCCCCCACGGGACTCCTGTGCCTGAGAAGCTTGAGCTAGCGCAGCAGTTCTCCGCATTTAGCCGCAGCGAAGATGCCCAGAGGCCCAGATTGCTGGCTTCGGAGGTCCGGGTGACCCCAGATTGCATTCCTTCCAAGTCCCCACAGATGTGGATGCTGCTCCTCCAGGGGCCACACTCTGGTCCCTCTGGTGTGGAGGCACTTGGATAGCACTGTCCCGCTGTCTGGTCCTTACAGGCACATGAGTCTGTGACCCTTACAGCAGATGCAGACCAGGGTCCTTCCAGAGTCAGCCTGCTCTGACTCTGCCAACCTGGTGCCCTATCTGGGACCTTCCCTGTGAAGCTGCTGGGAAGGCCCTAATTCCCATCCTAATGTCTTGGGTTTGTGACCAGTGTTCTTGGTTTTCCAGGCCAGCCACCTCCAGTTCCCGGGCGCAGTCTATGGCACAGACGGATGTTCTGTGTCTGTGGAGAAAATTGTTAACGTCCTCAACGGGACCAACTGCCCCAGCCTGGGAGGGAAGCCCAAGCTCTTTTTCATCCAGGCCTGTGGTGGGGGTAAGCCGGTCTCCAGTCCCCCTGGGTGTAGCTCGTAGGAGGGAGCCGCCCCCTTTCCCTGTCTATCACTGCTTCAGCCAATCAGAGGTCTCCGACATGAACGTGCTCACTGTCGCCACCGGTGCTAGCTAGCATGTGTTCAGCTGCATCTGCTCCAAGGAGATGGGCCTTCATTTCGTGGTGCAGTGGCAAGGCTTGGCGAAATCTAAGCAGGGGACGGAGGATGATACCTTCTTCTCCCTGTCATCGTGGTTCTCCCACCTCCACCATCTGGATAGAATCTACTTCCACTGACCTAGAGAAAGGGAGACCGCAGCCAAGCTGCTCCGGGCAGCTACACAATTTAACGATTGGAATTCCCAAGAGCTGAAGCCTTGGAGAAAATTTTCACGATGACTTGGATTATCTACACTTGCTTTATGCCTTGTGTTTTAGTTCACTTTCTGTTATTATAAGCAAGTACCGCAGACTAGGTGATTGATAAAGAGGAGGAATTCAGGTAGCTTAGCCTTGAAGGCTGGCCAGTGAGGAGCACGGTGCCAACATTCGGGGAGCACCTGTGCTGCACCCCAACATGGCGGAGTGTGTGGTGGGGAGACAGGGAGTGTGGCAGCTTGGGTTCCTGCTGTGTGTCCTCTTTGTCTTTATCATTGGCATCATTGTCCTCCTCCTCCTCTCCCTCTCTTCTTTCTCCTTTTCCCCTCCCTCTACTCCTCCCCCATCTCTTTCTTCTTTATCATCACCACCATCATCACCACCACAGGCTCACACTTGGCTGGCTATAAACTTCATATGTGACCAGTGTTCTTGGTCCTCTAGGCCAGCCACTTCCAATTCCCGGGTGCAGTATATATTTACAGTACAGGGTCTTCAGGGCCTACAGGGTCTCTCACTATACAGATCAGACTCATAGTGAGCCTGCTGTTTTCAGCCTCCCAAGCACTGGGATTATAGGAGTACGCCACCACTCCCAGTCTCAATTGCCATCTCAGCTTGTCCCCTGGGGGTGGGGAGCAGGGCTGTCACAGCACACTGGGGATCAAATCCTGGTCCCTGCGTCTGCCTAAGCAGGTGCTTTAATCTACTGAGCTATCTGGCCGACCCTAAACTTCTGCTTTTAAGGGATCCTCCTGCTTCA